CCCTACAAGCCACAGTAATATTGCATTGTGTTTCCCTTTGGTATTCAGGGCCACTAACTGATTGTCACATATCTTTGTTTGCATCTGTAAAAAGTCTCTTAACTAGGCATGTTTTATTCTGATTTCAAACATTTGAGCAGGGCCGGCCCACAACATTTTGGCTCCTGAGGTGAGAAGCTCAAATGACGCCCCCATGCCCCCTTGCTTGGGCCAAAACTTTGAAAGGTCTCAATTCTGCCTTCTTCCTGTTCTACTCCTCTCATCATACTGCTCTGCTACCTACCCCAATAAGGGAGAACTAACAACTTAAATTGCCTTGTTCAAAAATTTTAAGTAACACTTAACTTTCAAATGCCTGAACAGCAAATTTAACTTTTTCTTGTCTGCATAGTAAACACTGGCATTTTTATCTGTTTGAATAATCAAAGTGGTGCTTTCCGTGCCTTCTTGGTTGCAAAGATTTGAACTACTTCCTGCTGAAGGTCCACAGTCTGGGCCAGCTCATGCTCTACTGAGATGGTTGCAAGGCCGACCAGCCTCTCCTGTGTCATTGTGGAGTGGAGATGTGTTTTTATTAACTTCAGCTTGGAAAAGCTGCGTTCTCCACCGGCAACTGTTACAGGAAGTGTTAGAAGTATGCGCAGAGCAACAAAAGGATTTGGAAAGAGGGTGGTCATCTTATTTGTGCACATATATTCCAGAACAGCCTTTGGAGTTGATCCTGCTGAAATGTATCTTGAAAGGGCTTTCAGTTCATCACCTAAATCACTCGCATCAATATCACGCATGTCATCATGTGTCAACACTGTCTCTGGTGCCCTGTATTGCTGGTGTAGGTCTTCTTCAGGCATAGTGAGGAATTTTGGAATATCATACAACATCCCAAATATACTGCTGTGTTCTGTTACCAGATTTGCCCATTACTTTGGGGTATGTTCATTTATTCGGGTTACTCTTCTGGTGGGCGGGGGGTTCTGTAATTCGATCAGTATACTGCTTGTGTCACTTGTGTTTTCATATGGAGCTCTACTTCTCCCTGCTGCAAGTCCCCTCCCAATGGAGCTATCCTGCAGGACCTAGGTTCCCTAGGGCTGGGTTTCTCCAGCCCCAGAATCGGATGAACACACACACATACATTAACAGAGCAAGTCTGAGCGGACCGGGTCAATCAGCACTGTCAAGCTGACTCCTTATATGCCCCTGGGCTCTATGGACTGGGTCAAGCAGCATTTTCAAGCTGTCGCCCTTATGCGTCCCAGTTGCAGCACGTTCCTATCCCCACTCTCACATCACAATTGTACTGGCCGTAACCTACTTGATGAGCAAACCCCACAGTATTTTGGGCGCTGCAGGGATCTTTAGCTTAAGTAAAAGAAGCGTTGCTGCAGAGTATATGGGGGAAGCTAAAAACACAAAAGAGTAAAGTTCAGCCAGAGAGAGAGAAGCAACCAGCTTAACCATACAAGTTATTTATTGATAGTAATAATAGTGATCACTACACAAGGAGGGCTAAACCAACATAACATACATTTATTAAAGATTAATACCTAAGGTAGAAAGGAAAACAGAGAGAGAGAAAGAAGGGGATCTCACCGCTCCCTGAAGCTTGAACTGGTCGGGGTTCCCAGGTGATGGTGGTAGCTCAGGGTCCTGAGTGCTGGAGACAGGCAGAGTCCCCAGCACGATCCATCAGGAGAAGATGGAGTCCCAATGGAACTGATGCATAGTTTGACTGGAGGGTGAGTGGGGATTTTTGCAGAGAAAATACAATGGTTCAAGGGAGAACACTAGATTTGTTTATAGGTAAACTGATGACTCAAGGGTTTTCTTTAGGCTAGACAATAGGAGCTGATCACTCTTGGCTATGGGTGGTGTTTTCTTCCAGGGAGCTCACAATGCAACTAGGCTGCTTCAGTATTTTGGAAATCAGTCAAGGATTCATTACTAGAATTGGTCTGATAACTGCTGAGCTGAGTGTAGGCAGGCATATGTTCATTAACATCTGGAGCAGAGATTCCCATGATGCAGTGCTTCCCTGCTTTTTCTGGTCCCAGAGTTCAGTGTGGTTCTCTGCTCTCCATTCTGTATGCAAATGGAGATGTCTTAATCTTGTTACCCTTATCAGGAGGAGTCTAGGTGTGTCTCCGACCGCCCTTCACTGCTCTCTTTAAGTCTTTTCTCTGATCGGTTTTGGTTCCAGCAAACGCTGGGGGGGGTGTCCTTTCATGAGTCAGACAGGCTAGATACTGTGCCCTGGTTCCCCAAGAACACAAAGCTGACTGGTATCAGTTCCTTGAGCTGCATGAAACATTCTTCAACTGACTGTATTGCACAATCTAGCACCTGGTTAAAGAATTCAACTTTGAATTGTTCTTTGGGGTCTCTTTTGGGATTATCCCGTGCCTCATAATCAGAATGTCTTCTTCTTCGGTGACTCTTGTATTCTTGAATGGGTGGGAAAAGAGCTTCAGTGTGAAGTTCCTCTGCCAATTTCTGTGCGCTCTTCAGAACGTTTTGAAATCCCTCATCTGACCGGTAAGACTGTAGGTATGACTTTGCTTTGTCCAGTTGTTCCATTGCTCCAGATATATCAAGATCAACACCTTGGAGTCTCTTGCTTACAACATTTATTTCAAACAGTATGTCATGCCACAACACTAAGCCACACAGAAATTTGAAGTTATGTATGTTTCTGGTGATTCCATTTCCTTCTGCCACTGTTCTCCCACGAACAGTTCCTGTCATAGCATTATCCTCCATAATGGCAACTATGTCAACATCTATCTTCCCAATTTGGTGTTTGATAGGCTTTATCGCCTCCACTCGACTTTCCCATTGTGTGGCACTCAGTGGTTTCAGTGTCAGAGAGGATATTCCCAGATATTGCTTCAAAAGTTGCCATCGATGAGTTGATGCATAGAAAAATACATAGATGCTTTGAATTACATTACAAAATTCAGCAGCCTCACTAGAAGCTGATGCTGCATCACTGACCACCAAGTTCAATAATGAGAACTGCATGAGATAAAAAAAGCTCGAGGGTTTAACTCTCGGGGATCCGTGTCTGCACTCCTCTGTTCTTTCCTCTCATGTTGGCACCATTATCGGAGCCCTGACCTCTCATGTCAGCTATCGCAATTCCCATATCTTCCAGCTTTTTAAGAAGCACATTTGTCATACTAGCTCCTATAGTATCATCAATGTCAATAAATTCTAGAAAATGCTCTCTGACAGTCACCATTGCAGGGACATTTTTCACTAAGTTCTGTTGTTGTTACAAAATGTACCATTAAAGTCATTTGTTCCGTATGGCTGATGTCAGGTGTGCAGTCCAGAATAACAGAGTAATATCTTGCTGACTTCAGATCTGCCACAATCTTCTGTTTGACTTTTGTTGCCAGTAACTGAATGATCTCATTTTGAATTGTTTTTCCAAGGTAGTGGTGTGTGAACATTTCTTGGGTGGTGACTCTTCTTAGATGCTCCTGGAGTACAGCATTAAACTCAGCCATCGGCTCCACAATTTTAAGGAAGTTTCCATTGTTTGGCACATACAGCTGATCTGAAGTGCCACACAGTGCTAGGTTTTGGGTAGCAAGCATTCTCACAATGGCAATGAGCCTTTTCAGAACATTTTGCCAGTAAAGAGACTCGATGCAATCTTCTCTTGATGCTGATCATCTATGGTGGCCTTTAATCTTAGTCTCATCTCAAGCTCTTTCCACCTATGGAATGCTCTCTGGTGATTTGCTGCCTTCTCGTGGCATGCCAGATTTCTAGACAGAATTTTCCAGTCCTTGGTTCCTGTAGAACCCAATGTGGAACATTAGACTGGAAGAGTTTGCAACAAAAAGAGCACATAGCATTCTTAGTTTTTGAGTACATAAGCCATGGCTTCTCCACTTTGTCACCATTGGGGATTTCATGCAAGTAATGTGTTGGATGGAAACGTCTATTTTCATTGTCTTTGGGGAACATGAAGTTTTTCACTTGCTGTGGCCCATGCAGTACAAGGAAGTCTCTCAGACTACTGCTCAAGTGGATCCACAGTCCTGGATCATCTAGACTTAAGGAACTAAACTCAGCAGCAGCTGTTTCTTGTGCTTCCACCACACTCTTCTCTGATCTACACTTTTCAGGAATGTGCATGGTTACATCCATTTGAGATGGAGATATGGATGCTGCAGTAGCTGCCAGGTCACTTGCACTCTGACTAACTGGAAGATCAGGCATCTCCTCACCACTCACATCCTCACTGGGGCCGGAAGGCTCATTGTGAACATTTGTGTCTATGTATGTCAGGAGAGCTCCTTCCTGCTTAGATAGAAAAGCTTCCTTTGCTTTCTTTCTTTTTCTGAATGCTGCCCCAGAGGGGCGTTTTCTTCTTTCACTCATGACTGCAGTTCTGTGCCAGCTATAGTGGCTCTCAACACTCAATTGAAGGGGACAAATAAGCAGACTGGTAGCAGGGCCTGAGTGAGGGAAGATATCAGCGTCTTAAGGGCCTAACTGGCTCCTACTACTTCAGTTGACTGCCTGTTCTCCTCAAGTGGGTTCAGGGAAGCAGCAGGAAGCTCCCTGAGAAGCTGGTGTTAATCAGTCCAGGCTCCTGGGGGTGCTAGAGAGGTTCATAAGAGGCTCCTCCTCCTCTCTCTCCCTGCAGCTCCTGCTGCTTTCTGTTATTCCCTCTCACCTTTTCTCCTGCCTGCCTGTTATGTCTCTTGTGCCCTCCTTCCTCCAGCACAGCACTCCACCATCTCTGTGCATCTAGAGCAGAGAGAATACATACGCACCATCAACAGACACAATTTTCTACACTCTGGGTCCTAGTGGCGCCCCCCCACTGTCTGGCACCTGAGGCGGCCGCCTCAGTTCGCCTCATGGTAAGGCCAGACCTGCATTTGAGATGCAGCAAGAATGACAGTACTAGACAGGTATTGCAGCAGCCCTTCTCTCCTGTTCATGATGCTAATCCCTATTTATCTTCTCTTTATTTGCAGGACAATGCCAAACAGGAGAAAAAGGTATGGTGTGGCTTCTCGTTCTCTCCCCAGCCGCCCCTCCTGGGGCTCTCAGCACCCTGAGTATTACCTAGTTATTTCCTTGTTATTCTTTCCTTCAGCTGGATACAGCTGCCCCTGGACCCTGGCAATACTGCTCCATGCATTGGCCCTAGTCAGGTACTAGAGAGCAATGGGAGATGTTCTCTCTCTCCCAAGGCAAGAGTTTGCTGCCACTACTGTGATATCATCTCGTACCAGCCCGGGACCTCAGCCCAGAGAGTAAAGACTCAGACTTGGACATCCAAGTTGCCCAGTGTCGTAATATCCAATAACTCTACCATACGTGATAAATACCAGTTTATCCTTTTGTTTCTTTAACTGGTTAAATGTTGCAAAAACATTTCTACTTGCTAGAATTTTTAAAATGAATCTGCTTTAGCCCATATCCTCCAGTGCAAATGTATGGTAGAAGGCAGATGTCAGCCAACTTTTCAGCCCCACCACGGTGGGGCTGATATGCCCAAGCTCTTGTCCCTGGTGCGATATAGAGCAATCTTGGGGTTACTCTAATTTACACCAGTTGTCCATCTCAACTGTTTTCTCTGGCCACACTACTTATTCTGGCCCCATGGGGATTCCACATGACAGGGGAATCCGCAGGCATCCAGACTTGCAAAGCACCCACTGTGGTGGTCAGAATCCATCCATTTAACTATTTCAAATTTTGAATTTGTAAATACACCAGAAATCTGATTTTAAGAGTTAGACTCAGCCAATCAGAGAACAGAAATATTACCATGTGTCCAACAAAAATTGAAAATCTAATTGAAATTTTGAATACTGGCTACTTGCAATGAACTACTCACAAACAAGCCACAGACTAAGAATAATTTGGCAACTAGTTTCAAACAATAAATCTATCTGAGAATATTGCGATCTATTGCCAGACAATCTGTGAACAGCAAATAGATTAAATTAAATTAATTGAACCTATTATTCAATACATATTATTTGAGCAGCTGTATTGGATTCAGTGTGGTTAATGAGCAAGGTATTTTTCACATGTTCATCTTATCGTTTCTCATAGCAAAATGCGTGGACATCACCTTAAGCTCTTGTAGTGATGTTTCCTACACCAAAACAATGTATCCTAATTTGCTGGATCAGAAGTCCAGAGAAGTGGTTGAACTCAGCTCCGAATATATTCTCATGAGTGTGCTACACAACTTGCTTCAGGGAGAATGTAATCCTGATCTGAGACTCCTGAGCTGCTCAATACTGGCTCCACAGTGTGAAAAAGACAAAATGATAAAGCCCTGCAGGCACGTCTGTGAAAACCTGAGAAAAAATTGCCTTCCTGCATTTGACACAATAGACATGGCTTGGCCCTACTTCTTAGACTGTGATCGCTTCTTTGCTGGTGAAGAAGAAGGTTGTTTTGATCCACTGGCAAAGCTACGAGGTAAGAACTGAAGCTATACAGGCACATCATAATAAACTATCCATGATCGCTATAATATACCTAGAGATTTTGTATTATACCTTAACGTCTTACCTAAAATTTTAGAACAACAGGAAACGCACAATAGTAACTAGCTCATGGAAGGTAAATTGCCTTTGTGAATGTTATATTTTTTGTTTAGAGGTATATAGTGCAGGTGACAGAAGTCAGTTGAGTTACACCAAGGATGAATTTGATCCAATAGATTTAAAGGACCTGTCTCTATGCTGAAGGCTGAAGTTTACCAGTGTACTACAGGCCAGTTTTTACTTGGTGAAGCTCACAGCAAATATGGCTGCACATCTTAAAATATCTGTCATTGTGCAAGTGCAGTAGCTGGTTTTGGAGACTTGGACTAACATACCTCACACGGAAGAACACATGGAGGAGGTTCTTGTTCAGATCTAAGGTTTTGATTCAGGCTCATTTCTAATTTCCATACTTCTGTTATTGGAAATGTATGTTTTATGAACAGAGGGGCACGTGTTTGTTCACTGTAGCTTGATAACCCCACTCTGGCACAAACTTTTTGACCTCACTTAGTTACAGTTATAATTTTTCTCTGCAGGGGAGCCAGAATTAGCTGAGGAAGATTTACTTGTGGAGGTGCCTACAACTTTAATTCAGTTCACCCATCATTCGTATTCCAAAATGGTGAGCATTTTGAAGAAGACTGCTTCTAGGTGCTCCCACATTGCAAGAACTTACAGCATTGGCCGTAGCTTTGAAGGGAGAGACCTTTTTGTGATTGAGTTTTCAACTAATCCTGGACATCATGACCCGAGTGAGTAATAATGCTCCCAGCTGCAGTGTAGACATAACGCTGACAGCTAGCCTCTTAGGGTGAGATATGGCACACTTCTATCATGTTCCCTATAGATTCATGGATTTTACGGCCAGAAGTACCATTGTGATCATTTAGTCTGACCTGCATAGGACTTCCCTAGATTAATTCTGGCTTCAAGTCCAATAGCTGTCGTTGAACTAGAACCTATCTTTTAGAAAAAAACATCCAATTCTGATTTTAAAATTTCCAGTGATGGAGAATACACCAACACTCTCGGTAAGTTGATTCAATGGTTAATTACCCCCACTTCAATATTTTTACCCTATTTCTAGTTTGAATTTGTCTAGCTTCAAACTTCCAGCCTTGAATCTTGTTATACCTTTCTCTGATAGACTGAAGAGCCATCTGTTATCAAAGGTCACACAGGAAGTCTGTATCAGAGTAGGGATCTGAATCTCCCAAGTCCCATGTTAGAAGCCTAACCACTAGGCCATCCTTCACCTCCAGTTAAAGGAACAGTGGTAGCACTGTCCTTAATAATATAATGTTCCCTCCACCAGTGGAGTGGTTAGGTAGCCTACAAACCAGTAAATAAACATGTTTTAAAATAAAACCATAATTCAACATGTTTTATCATGAAAATGATACTTTAGCAAGCAATTACACCACTCTGAACAGCATAACGGGACTTTAAAGAGGGCAAAAATAACTCCCAGCTCAGGATTCGGCTGTCTGCCACTTTAAACAAAGAAGAAAAAATCCTTCAGAATGCAAGTGCTTACTTGCTGAGCTTACAGTAAGGTCCTGGTCTGGGCTCTGGGTTAGCACTTAGGTGCTCCTCTTGTGTCCCAGTTTCACCCAGCTCTGCCCTCAAGGAAAAGCAGGCCAAACCTCCTAACTGGCTTGCTGATTCTTGATAGGTCAATATTTCCTCCTGGCCCTTCTAGCCTCTGGAGGACTGCCTTGTTGGTCACCCGGTCTAGATGGATTTTCCTTGGGCGCAGAGTATCAGGGTGCTCATGCCTCCAGCAGAGGATAGAGAAGGCCTGATAGATCCCATCACAGTGTAGTCTAGCTGATGTCTTAGCCAATTATTCTTTTCTTAGACGTTTTTGTTTGCAGTCCTCTGAAAATACTCTGATTTATAGTTAGTTTTAGCTTTTCTCATCATTAACCACAGTGATTGCCTCATAACATTTGTGAATCCTTAACAAATAGTTCATTTTATTGTATAAAGAAAATATATTTAATTTGTTAACTGACTTGAAGTTGGTGCAAATGGATCTGGAATTGACATGATGTTTACGGGAATATGCATGTTAAATTACTGTAAATAAAACTCACTGACTCATCTGTCAGCTATCTGCGTTGCACTGGTTTGGGAAGGCATCCAGTTGTCCTCAGAATTACAACAAATCATCTCATTACTCCATCTTTTCACAGTGAAGCCAGAATTTAAGTATATTGGAAACATGCATGGAAATGAAGTTGTTGGGAAAGAATTGTTAATATACCTTGCACAATACTTGTGCTCTGACTATCTCCTTGGGAACCCCAGGATCCAGACTTTGATAAACAACACTAGAATTCACCTTCTGCCTTCGCTGAACCCAGATGGGTATGAACTTGCTGCAGAAGAGGTAAAAGACCTTTTTGCAATGAAGTGAATATGTTATAAAATTCCCTGCAAAAGAGAGAGGAAAATCTGGGGTTTGGGGGATTTGGGTTTTGACAATAGTTGACTAACAGATTTTATTCCCATCTGATTTGCTGGGCAGCTGCTCTGTAGTGCCCAGATTAACAAAACTAACAGGTAATTTGGACCAGATTTCCCATTCTTCCTGCTTGTACACTGGAGGTTTGATAAGGATGAAAGCCTTTTTTGCATATTCAGTAGCCTGCCCAATATTTGAGCAAAATGCCCAATGAGCCAATTTTGATGATTGAAGTTGATCCTTTTATTTTGTATAAACTTGTAGTTTAATATATTTTCTTCCTCAGCTAGAAGATCAGATGTAATTAAATATTAATATTTCTTATGCTTGCTGAACCCTGACTTAAACCCTGTTTAACAGCTGCTGTGTTCCACCTTAGAGTCACATCAGTGGTGCTCAGAAGTGCTTTTGAGGTCCTTTGGGATAAAGAGTGTTCTATAAATAAATATATTATTTCCACTCTCTGGACACTTTTAACAAATCTCTGGTGCCTTTTTGGCATTTAAAACTTCCACTTGTTCATTAGCAAATAACATTTTTAACATCCCAAACATTATGAGACAGGCAGGATTGGATCTATTTAATTAGCTTCTTTCTTTACTGTAAATTAGGGAGCTGGTTACAATGGTTGGATTAATGGACGTCAAACTGCTCAGAACCTTGATCTTAACAGAAACTTCCCTGACTTGACATCTGAAGTTTACAACAGAGCTGGGCTCCGATGGGCACGCCTAGACCACATCCCCATTCCACAATCCTATTGGGAGGGTAAGGTATGAATTACAGACGTTTTATCAAATATATTGTATAAAGGTTCAGATAATTATGAATATTAAAAAAAATCAGTACCAAGTTATCCTTGATGCTTGTTTTAGCTTAATGCTATTCTTCTTATAAGGAGGACTAGTTGGATGTGCATAGGATTTGTATGGGCTGGTCATGGCAGAAAAGGCAAAAGTCTCAAATGAATAGCAAACAAAAATGTCACAATCACAGGTTTCAGTATTTCATTAAACTATACGCTATTGTACAATAGAAACCATTTGGGAGGGCCTGATTTTTAGAAGTGCTGAGCACCCACAACTCATATTGACTTGATTATTAATTAATTATTATTATTAAATTTATTATTTGTATTGCGGTAGTTCTTTTCAGCCCCAGTTGTAGCTCGGTGCTGAACAGACAGAACACCAAGCCGGTCCCTGTCTCATGAAGCTCACAGTGACTTCATTGGGAGTTATGTATCCTCAGCATTTCTTGGAAATGACCAAGCTGACATTTTGGGCTTGGCTACACTGGCACTTTATACCACAATAAAGCCTCACAGAGCGCTCTACCTTACTTCCTGTCCACACTGGCAAGGACTCCCTGGCTAGAGCGCTCCTGGTACTCCACCTCCACGAGAGGGATAACAGCTGTTGCGTATTGGCTGAGACGCCCCAGGGCCAGTGTAAACGGGGAGTTAAGTTACAGCATTCTGACTGACCTCCGGAAACATCCCATAATCCCCTTAAGTCAAGTGGTCTCTCATCCCTTTGTTGTGAAATCAGGTCAGGAATGCGGAAGTGCCTTTTCAGAGCTCCATTTCAGACAGCAGCTGCTTATCTGCAACTGGGCAAAGCAAATGTTTATTGAGTGAGTGAGTGAGAGGCAGGGGGGCTAGGGAGATCTGAACTTACAAGATAGTGCTGACACACTCTCAGCACTCCAAAAACCCACTCTTTCTCTCCCCCCACATACAAACAACACACTCCACCCCACTCCCCTCATTTGAAAAGCACATTGCAGCCACTTGAACGCTGGGATAGCTGCCCATAATGCACCGCTCCCAATGCCGCTGCAAATGCCGCAAATGTGGCCACGACAGTGCGCTTTCAGCTGTCAGTGTGGACAGACTGGAGCGCTTTCCGTAGTGAGCTCTCCGAAGGCTGATTTAACCCAAAGCACTCTACAGCTGCAAGTGTAGCCAAGCCCTTTAACAAACAGCTCAAGTAACTGAAGCTGTTATCTGAGTGCCTGCTAGTTCACACTCCCACCCACCAGCAGCAGTACTGGAAGGTGGGTGAGAGAAAGCAGCTGTTACCTCTCCTCCCCAGTACTGGGAGCAGCAGAAGCAGCACTGGGCCTGAAGTTAATCATCAGCAAGTTAAATAAGGCATGTGCTTGCATAGTAAGAGTGTGATACTCAGGAGTGTTTTAGTTCCTAGCCCCAATCACAGGACAAGTGTACCAAAGGCTATATCCCTGTCATATGGCAGGGAACGGTATCCCCCAGCTCCAGTGGCTGCACTTGCAATTTATCCCCCTACAAACGGAGGAAACACAGAATCCATCACCTACTGTAAGTGTGAGGCAAAACACTAGCCCCGAGTCTGGGAGCTCCTACTCTCGCTTCAATTCCCCATGCAACCCTTGTTTTCATCTGGGTGGGTTTTCAGTGAGATTGGTTCCGTTGTTTGCCAGCCTGCAATCCCAAATGTTCAAAGTCCCGGAGGGGATGGATGATCCAGAAATTAGGATGCTAGCAGGGGATTCTGGAGAGTCCCTGCTTCTCCACAAACCTTCCTATATGACCATGGGCAAGTCATTTAGTCTCTCTGTGCCTCAGTTCCCCATCTGTACAATGTGGATAATAGCACTGCCCTACCTCACAGGGGTGTTGTGAGAATCAATACATTACAGAGTGTGTGTTGCTCAGATCCTACCGTAACGGGGGCCATACAAACCCACAACTTCTGTGACAGCTGTGATAAACATGCTGATTATGCTCTGATCCTGCAAGCTACCCCGTGTAGCTGGAGCTCTGAGCCCAACTGACTTCTCTCGTGGCTCTGCATAGGCATAGAAGCCCGCCTGTGAGGAGCAGCTTGTACAGAGGCCCTACACTAGTCAGATTCTCCCCAGACTCCTGTTGTGCCTTTACAGCCCCTGTATGCCATCACAGTAGCATACAGAAGCCTGGATGGGTGACAGAATTTGTCCCTAGTATTTTTGTCCCAAATTTCCCACTGTTGCTATCACAAGTTCTGCTCCCCTAGTAACAAGAAAAGGCATAGACAGCCATTGGCATTTTAACCCCTCTGTTGTCTAAACCTACCCTGAACAGGAACAAAATGCACAAAATTACTGAGGGGTTTCAACATACCAGAGGCTACAACTGTTCTACTGCAGGCCTTTCATTGCATTTTACAGGGGAATTAGCCATGAAGGAAGTGACTATTTAACACACCACAAACGCACACAAAACTTGTTCCCTCCATAACGAGCAGCTCAACAACATACAAAGTACCTTCTGATGTGTGCTGTGTAGAGACAGAATGAGAGAACCTGTCATCCTGTGACCTTGAAGGCACATGCAAAACTTCCTTGACAACTACAGTTACATTTAGCTAAGAGATGAAACTGCATGAATCTTCTCTCAGTCCGGAGTTAACCTACTCCCACAGCAGTGGGCACAGAAGAGCCAGATGAGTTGTTGATGTAATGAGCATCAATTTTGCTAGGGATCTGAACCATTTACCTTAGTGAGGGGACTCTGTTATGGAACTCAGCTTTGTGCATTAATATGTCTGCTTCAAAGCCAGCTTTCAACTGTCATTTACTTAATAGTATTTATTACCTGGCTTATTAAAGTAATTATGCAGGTATTCCAAAGTACCACATGGAGACGGGAAAATTGAAAGCAAGCTCTTTAGCTCTTTGCCAGTCACATAAACTCAGAAAAACCCCTTCCCTTCCCATAATCCTTGCCCTTACAACAAGCTTTGTTCTCTATTACCAATTATTGTAATAAATGGTCAGAGTTGAAATTGAGAAACATTATCAGAGATTAAATAAATTAAATTGCCTTGATTCATAGAGGATTTGGAGGCTTATAGTGGAGGCTGGCAGAAACTGTAGGAAATCTAGTCCAGTTGTTTCTAAAAGAAAAAAAGAAATCATCTTTACAGACCATGGAGACAGTGGCTAAATACGATATAATTGACAGAAATGGGAATCAGGTTTAAAAAGGGTAATGGCCATTCACTGTATTTATGGCCAAATTATCTAGCTCCTTTCTAATTGTATCTTAAATTGCTCTTGCAAAATGGATAATTTAAGAATGATTGTCTGTGACTGAAAGGCAAAGGACTTCTGGTGAATTAATAAGCCACATTAAAGAAAAAAATCTATGAATAGTCAAAGGGTAGAGTCTGATACCATTGATGGAGCTGAACCAGAAGAATGTAGATTTAAAAATATAGTTTCTTTAAAGCTAAATTGCTATATGGGTTGCAAAACCTAACCGTTTTCCACAAAATTTGCAGCAATAAAATAATAATGGTGTCAAGTTGTTCTGCACTTAACTCAAGAGCAGGCAATGGGGCACAAACCCCAAATGAGTTGTGCTTTCTATACTTAGATTTCACCAAACCAATTAGCAAGTGGAAACTCATCAGGGACTATAACAGCCTAACTATGGAGTCACAGATAATCCCCTTGGATACTCCAATCTGTCTTGCCACACAGGCGAGCCTACCTTTGTGATAAATGGTCCCTTAAACCAAGGATCACAGCAATATTCAGATTACGGTCTGTCCCAAAGGCCCATTCACTTATCCCAGGTCAGTTGCACGTTAGATCTCACACCAAAGACAATGCTTGTAGTCAATACTATAATAAACTACCTAAAGATTTATTAACAGGGAAAAGGAAATAGAGTTATTTATAAGATGAAAGCAGGTAAACACACACACACGAGTCACAATTTTACATTTGAAAAGGTAATAGAAGTTTCTATAATAAACAAGCTGTATATGTCCTATAGGGCTAACTCAGGCGAAGCATCTGGAGATCCCTTGCTTATGCTTAGAAGCTGTGCCCCTGCAGAGTCCAGGTGTCATAGAGATACAGTTCCTTTTCGTTAGGGTTTTTTATTCCCTTTCCCTGATGTGCTCTAAGCTGTGAACTCAGATGATGGGTGGAATCAACTTGCATAACTCCTCTTCATGAGGCATGGAGTGAGAGAGCAGAGAAACAAAGTCTTTTGTTCTCTTCAATGTCCCACAATAGTCCTTGTGGTGTTGATGGGCCTTCCTTGTTGACCAAGATGTAACAGCTTTGGAGGTCAGCACTTCATACAAGTTAATGTCTCTCTCCTGTCTGGTGATTTAGAATGTCACAGAGGCTTACATTACAAATGCTTAAATATTACCTTACAATATAGGATACAGGTGCTGTAAGTGAGATTAATGCACACAGCAACTCACCAGCAGTCAAGAAAGTCCTAACACTAAATGCAATCTTGTAATTCTAATACCTATTTTAATAATATTAACACAGAAGTGAGCCAAACTGATTCCAGCTAGGTATTTGTTCGTATTCGGTTGAGACATGGGGACCGTGGCATGGGCTGGCAGCTGGTCTGGGGGGAGGGATAGCTCAGTGGTTTGAGCATTGGCCTGCTAAACCCAGGGTTGTGAGTTCAATCCTTGAGGGAGCCACTTAGGGATCTGAGGCAAAAATCAGTACTTGGTCCTGCTAGTGAAGGCAGGGGGCTGGACTTGATGACCTTTCAAGGTCCCTTCCAGTTCTAGGAGATGGGATATCTCCATTAATTAATCACAAACGGGCTCACTGTCTTGCGGAGTATGTAGGTATCTACCACGGAAGTAGGCTAGAGAGAAACGTGAAGAGAGGTTGAGTTTAAAAGTTCTCTGAATAAGACATTTAATCTGGGCTTGTCCCAGAAAATATTGATATAACAGTTAAATAAAAGACTTTTACTGAAATCTGGGAGTATCTATTTCCTCAAGAATAGGACAGGGTCTGTGTTCATGCCTATCCAGTGCTTCAGAGAAGAGCAAAGAGCAGACAGTTTTGTGTGCTGAAACCAGAGAAGACGAATTGAGCCCCCTCTGCAGCAGGCTTCCCAGTTACTCAACAGCCTACATAACAGCTTTTGTGTGGGCACTGACAGAGCTGGGAGGCATCAGAATTGCCACAGCATGGTCCGTTGGCCACCCAGCTGATCCCAAGAGGAAACCCATGAGGGCATCAGTACTTCTCCAGGCTGTATTCAGTTCTTTCTGCAGTTTCTGCTTCTTAGAAGGGATGGAGTTAAAGGGAGCCAAGGCTTGGGAAGGAAGCCCAGGAATCAGTCCAGAAGGGTCTGACTTTTCTTATTGATTTCATGGGATCCATGGAGTCAGGTCTCAGATTCCCTGTGGAAAGCCCACTCTCACTGCAAACTCAGAAGGGAGCATCCTCTGAGACTCCCCGAGTTCATTCTCACAAAACTCTCCCCCACCTTTGGTGTGTGTGTACTTGCGTGTACCTGAAAGACTTCTCTGGTGTCCTTTACCCGTGGAGCTCAACTCCCCAGGGCTTTTCAAATGGTCTCCCTTCTTCTGAGCCATGAATAAAATCCTCTCACGCTCTTGAACATATGGGGGAATTGCCATATTACCAAACTTGACAATGGTTAGGCAGCCAGTGTGCCTGACATGCTGACAAATATTGTCTCATTGTTCCTTTGTATTCCCCTGTCTGACTGTCTCCACTTGTTATCTCTTGTCTTATTGTAGATTCATTGGGGCAGGGATCATCTTTTTGTTCAACAGTGCCTAACACAATTTTATCTTGGTCCATTACTAGGGATCCTTTGTGCTACTGCAATGCTACAAATGAATTATGATAATGATAACTTCCTTATGAAAGACCTCTCTCCTTCTTTTTTCACAGGAATCAGTGGCATTGGGTTCACTTTAAAACCCAGAGTCAATTGTGGGGGAAGCAAGGAGATGATAGTTTCCATCCTGTCTGCCACTCCTTGCATGTCTTTCTCTCTGCACTCACCTGTAATACTATAGTTTTTAGTGATACTGGCACGCAAATATATGCAAAGGTACTAATGGCTTTTTGTGTATTGGAAACTGGAGCATAGCTAATAACTAGGATGTAGAACTTCAGTTATCTCAAATGATGATAAACGACAGAAGAATTTGACATGCCAAGTCCTGAAATGCATGTTCCTAAATGCTAACAATACTTCACTTCCCTACTCTTTTCCTGTTTACACAGAGTCGGAGGTGCCCACAATTCTTCACCACTCCTTCTGGTCCTTGGCACAGGTTCATAGGTCTTGGAGTTCCAGTCCTTTTCTCTTCAAACGTCTCTTGACGGTGTCTTCCCATCATATCCTCGGTATTCCATGCCCTTTCTTGCTGTCCTCTTCCTCCCATGCTTTCTTTGCTGGTCATTCTTATCACATGTCTATCCAACCTCAAAAGTGTGCTCTCCAGCCTCTCTATCATTAAGAATTCCAAGTTCATCTTCCCCCTAATATCTTCCACGAGCACTCTATCTATCCTCTGGTTGCCTGCCATTCTCCTCAGTATATTATTTTCTATTAGCTGTATCTTCTTTTCTTCCATCGCTATAACACCCATTTCCAAACCATAGATCAGACAGGAACCAACTTAAATTTTTTCTTTTAGTTTTTTACTTAATTGCCAGTTCCACAGTACTTCTACCAGCTAAATGCTAACAACAATGAAGTAAAAATAATTTGTGATTCCTGGACTGTTGTTATTCTGTCCACCACTATCCCTCCCCCAGTTCTTACCACATAGCCGCCTGTCCCACAGTGTCCCGGGCCTATAAAATGTTCACTAATGAATTTTTATGCAGTGCCATAGGAAAAATACACCCTCACTGTTTTGATACATCAAACAATCAGACAGATTTCTCACTGCAGCTGCCTAAAGCCAGCACTGCAGCCTTTGTTACACTTAGACCCAGATTTTTAAAGGTATTTAGATGTTGTGGCACTCAGCATTGCGTTGCTGATTTAGGAGCTTAAATTTCATTTTCAAAAGGGATTTATGCTGTTAGGAACCAAAATCCCATTGGAAGTTGATGGGATTTAGGCACCTAAGTGCTTAAATCACTCTTTAAATAGCTCCTAAATCACTTCGGTGTTGGAACACTGAGCACCCCAACCCCTAAATATCTTTTCAGATTTCGGCTTTATTGACCTTTCTTAGTGTTTTAAAGCCAGCTGACAGCATCCTTGCTGGTTGGTGTATATGTCCAGAATTGGCATTATTAAATCTTACAGCCAGATGTTGGATGGGTCTAATTGATGTCAATTCATCCAGTATTTTCATCTGAGCCTGGCATCCTGACATACAGCAAATGCCACCTGGCAAAGTACTGACACAAAATAAATGAAGCCCCACTCTCTGCCAATGGCTACATGCTCTGCAGAAGAGCCCCAATCAGCAACTGGCATCAATATAAAGGACCATTCATATGGGTCCTGGGAAACCGTTGCCCTGGCTATCGCCAGAAAAGGTGTTTTCAGGTTGTTCTGCACTGGTTAGTGTGCTTGTGCATACTGCCCTCTACTAAATGAAATGGCAGCTCTGCTAAACAAATATGTTATAAGCACCCATACCAATGGCTAGTCTACAGTGGCTATAAAGCCTAATGCTACTTCAGCTGCCTTCCTCAGTTACCCAGCACCTACTACACATTAAATGGCGTAATAGTATTTCACAGTGGTGTCTATGCCACCGGGATAAGAATGCCACTTGCTTTACTGAACTGTCAACATATTTCCTGCAATACTTGCAGGGGTGCACTTGAGAAGTCACTCATGCAAGTGACCAGCTGACCAAGGGATGGTCATCCTCCAACCTTGATTATTTTCTGATAGCTGATGGTATTTAAGCATGAGGTGGCAGAGGGCTTTAGCAGCCCTGCATAGATCCATGCACGACTGGGCCCAAAGTAAGAAAGCCTGACCCTCCTTCACTTTACACCTTGTGTAGTCTTTGACATTTGTGCAAACACATTGCTGTTCTCATTTGGTACCATTTTACAGTCACTTGGCACTCACTTTCCACAGCTGTCAATGATCCCACAAGGTGCAAATGGAAAGAGAATCCCTCCCTAAAACTAACAACACTCTGATAGCTGTATTTTGAGGATTACCCTAACTGGCCACCAGGTGTCACTGTTGCGTTTAAGGAGTAGCTAATTATAATGTAGTGCTGAATGAAATTATTCCTCAGTAACTACTGAGGCCAGACAAATCCCTCACGGCTTCAACAGGAAACTGTGTACTTCATAGTATGAAATGGCAACATGAAGAATCCTATGGCTTAGATTCAACACACTGAACTCTTTTGCAAGCAACGCATGGCTATACCAGTGCATATCATGGACATGGAGACGCTTCTCCGTCTATTTTGTCACAGTTATTTTTAGGAAAAGTCACGGACAGGTCATGGGCAATAAACAAAAATTCACAGGAACCCGTGACCTGTCCGTGACTTTTCCTAAAAATAACCAGGAGGGAGAGCTGATGGGGAAAGAATTACAGTTGGAGCCCCATGGAGGGGGGACTGACAGCTCGAGCCACACTGCCATGCGGGAAGGGGGGACACTGCCCCAGCCCCAGCCCAAACCACAGGGCACAGGCGAACAGAACTGGCCCCTGCTGAAGCCGAAGGGTGGGGGCGCACAGCCCTGGCTCCAGTCCTGGCGACAGCCACGGACAGCTAAAACCAAAGAAGTCATGGAGGTCCGGAAAAGTCATGTGACTTCTGTGACTAAATTGTATCCTTAATTATCTTACAAGAGTCAATTGAAAGTTGTTTCTACTTTGTCTTTCAACAAGTGGTGAACACTAGGATTTTGCAGTTGAGTCCCAGCTTGTCCAGGGAAAATTTTGAAAGCAACATGTTACATTTTCATTAAAATGTGACCACTATTATGCCCCTTAATCTTGTTGCAATCTGAATTTTAGTTCAAATCACATCTTATTATTATTTATTTGTGTTACTGTAGCACGTAGGAGCCCCAGTCATGGGCCAGTCCTCCGTTGTGCTACTTGTTGTATAAACAGAGAACAAAAAGATAGTCCATATCAGTCTTTTCTCCATGTTGTGTTGTTTTTTTCCAAAAATGGTAATTGCCTCTGGGGCTGGGTGGCTAGGAATTGTGAGTCTGACTTTCAATTTTGTTATAACAATTTTTCTGGTCTTGGAGGGAGGGAAGATCCCTGTATTTTGGGGTCCAAACTCCATGCTTGTTACATGGGACAAACAACCACCACCCCATCCCCTAATGGGAGATCTGGGAATCACACACAGTTTTCTTCCCCACCACACTGCTATCTGCAGGTGTTTCTATGAGAAGGGTCATGCTGGCCCCAAATTATTTTAAGATAATCCATTCTAAACAGAATGTTCACTCAAGTGATTTTTCTTTCTACTCTTCAGGTAGCACCAGAGACAAAAGCAGTTATGAAGTGGATGAGGGCTATACCATTTGTATTGTCTGCCAGTCTCCATGGAGGTGAATTAGTTGTTACCTATCCTTATGACTTCTCAAGGCATCCACTGGAAGAGAAAATGTACTCCCCTACTCCTGATGAGAAGGTAATACTTCTTTCAGATGGCTACATAAACTAGTATAGCTTCAGATATGGAACTACTTGGAACCAATCCTTTTAACTCTGAGCTGATGTGGATTTTTTGAATGCCTGACTTGCAACAATATCTCTAAATATGCCATGAAAGGGTGAATGTAGTTCTGCAAGCATTATACTCTAGGGGTGGGAATTGCAAAAGCACTCAGTGTTTGTCTAACGTCACTCTCAGGCCTGGTTACACTTAAAATTTAGGTAAACCTATTCACATTGCCCGGGTGTGAAAAATTCATTCCCCTGAGTGCCAGAGTTAAGGCGACCTAACCCCTGGTCTAGATGTGGTTTGATCGATGGAAGAATTCTTTCATTGACCTAGCTACCGCTGCTTGGGGAGGTGAATTACCTACATTGAAGGAAAAACCCCTTCCATCGATATAGGATGTGTCTATATTACGGCGCTACAGCACCAGAGCTGCCGCTGTAGCTTCAGGCCCCATAGTGTAAACATGGCCCCAGTGAAATCAATGGGAGTTTGCGCATTGGCTTCTAAGGGGCTAGAGATGTGCTAATGCTGAGTGCTCCTATTGTCAGACTAAGGGGGAATAAAGAATAAGACTTGCGAAGTTAAACTATTTACAGATCTACTCATAGGAAAGTTTACTTCCTGTAGCCAAAAAACCAATAAATGTAACATTTCAGTGACAACACATGAGGGCCTGACTGTCCACTGTCCTGCACCTTCTAGAGTCACTTACATATTTACAGTTCTGCTCTGGTAGCATTTTACACTCACTTTGCATTGGTGTAAATAATTCCACCAAGTGTAGGGGAACAGAGAATCTGCCCCTTAATATTTAAGGAGTTAAGGGCCCACTCTAACTCCCACTGGCTTCACAAGGAGCAGGTCCTGAACATACAGTTCTAATCTTCATTTAAACCAAAGGAAATAAAGGATGCCAGAAGGGGGCAATATTGTAATAGTTATTACAGGTTAAGCTGAATTAGTGAATATTTGTCTTTCCAGTCCCTGATTTGGATTATTCTTCATTTTGAGAGCTTTAAATATGCTGCCCAATTTTCAGCCCTCTTCTCTACTTCTTTTTGATTTCCTAAAACTAGTCATTGACACAAGTAATGAGAAGTTTGTGCTTTTATGTCAGAAATGCCTGGCAGTCTTAAAAAACACCACTTTCTTTAGCAAACCAATGCTGCAAATAAACAAAGAAACCACTTTTCCTTAGTGTGATGTACAGATCCTTGTGTTGAGGAGTGCAGGACTGGGCTGATTCCTTATGCAGGCTGGGCACCAGAGATCTGCAGTTAGGAAACTAGTATTAAGTGTCTTGATTTGAGCTGCATAAAGTCTGTTGTTTGGATACTCAGTGATATACTTAGCAGGGGAAGCCACACAAAGTAGGGATGCTGAACAGTGAGAAGCACATAGCATGTCATAAATAGGTTTACTGAATGGTAACGCAAACTACAAGACGTTATGAAGAAGAGGGGGAAATCCATTCTTTATCTGCTAAGGAGCAGGTGGTTTATAGCCAGTGAACTTAGGGGATTTTATTGGCTTTTTCTCTATGTTAAATCACTGATCTATGGTAAAGGTTTCTAACTTAGCACCCAGCTGCATGTTCTGCGAATCACTTTCAATCAAAGGTGAGCATAGCTAGCCTCAGAAAAGTCACTGGAGAACAGAAATGAGCTGAGGTTTCAGTGACTGGAATTGTAAAATCACAGCTCAGATGTTTAGTCCTCTGCCTTGCTTTTTTTGTCAGTGAGGGACGGCTTTGTGGAGTAAGGTACCATTACACGTGAACAATGATGTCACAGCCCTTTAAAAATGGTCAGGTGCTGAATGCCTCCTGCATAGGAACTGTTTTTTTCAACTTCCAGTGACATCATGGGCCTCTGAGGCTATGTCTACACAGCAGCTAGACATCCACGGCTGGCCTGTGCCAGCCGACTCGGGTTTGGGCTGTGGGGCTGTTTCACTGCTGTGTAGGTATCTGGGCTTGAGTTGAAATCTAGGCTCCAGACCCTGCGAGGTGGGAGGGTTCCAGAGCTTGGACTCCAGCCTGCGCCCGGAAGCCTACAGAGTATTGAAACAGCCCCGCAGCCTGAGCCCTGTGAGTCCAAGTCAGCTGGCACCAGCAGCCGTGGGTTTTCCCTTGCTGTGCAGACATACCCTGAACCCTTTGCAGGCTCAGGTCTAGGTCAAGATTACCCTAATATCCCTCTTTTGCTACCAGCTTCCAAAGGAGCAGCACCAGGCCCCTATTGACCAATACTTGCTGTAGTGAAATATTTAACATCCCCCAAAAATAAACAGTAACCTGTGACTTGATGTTTTTGAGCTTCCTTCTCCTCACATAACAGCTGTCCAGCTAGGGGATTCCACAGACTGCACCGGAGATATTCCTGACTCCTGACTCACACTCGGGCAGCGGAGTCCCCTTTCTGTCTGAGGGACTCTGCACCTGGAGTCTCATTTAAATCTGGGGCACCAACGCAGTGTTTGCTAGATCCACCATTGCTACAAGGACTGGAAAAGTTACCAGTTAAAAGAGATGGGGGGGCAGGAGAGTACATGTTGATCTCCCTCCGATTAAAATAATTTTGTAAAACCAATTTGAGAGCAATGTTAGCAGTATCCCTTTAAATGTCAGAGTTATAAAACCACACCTGTTAAGTGACCTGCATTTAACTAATCTCCTCTGCAGCTGCTGTTGTCTGGGGACTTGCGTCCTGAAATATTGTTGCTCTGTTTTAGCTGCTGTTCTGTTAGCTGTAACCTCTGTTCTGACTGCTGACCCGGTGGAAATCACCTGGGCAAGGAGGAAGAGGGCAAATTTGCATCCTTGGTTGCAGCAAAAAGTAAAGCACCATAGCACTGCTGAAGCTAAACTTGAAGGCTCAGATTCTCCAGCCTGTTGAGTTGTTTTTGGGCTCAGTCAATGTGGCAAAGTGTACTTATATAGGCAGTGATACTCCCCCCATGTGCATATATTCTCTGGTGGCATTTTGGCCCCTATGTTACCCCTTCCTGGTTCCATTGGTGTTGGGGATGTGGGACACTGCTTTATCTGGTTTATTCCTAGCTGCCAGATTAGCTCATTACTCCTGAAGGCATTCTGCACCAAAAAATTAAAAATTCTGCACCAAAAAAAATGGGTATTTTGCACACAATATTTTAAAATTCTGCAAATTTTATTTGTCAAATAAATGTGGAGGTTACAGCATGGCAGTGGGGAGCACAGACTACTTGTGCACAGAGGTGGGAGATCACTGTGCAGCTCCCACCCCGGGACACAGACTCAGCAGTGAGGCTGCACCCAACCCTGACACAGCACAAGGACCCAGCCTGCCCCAGAAACACCCCAGGGCCCTGCCCCTCCGTGCCAGGTGCACCAGGTGGGGGCAGGCAGACTCAGCAAGGCAGGATCCAGGTGTGGAGGGGCTTAGTGTGGGGGGATCCAGGTGTGGGTTGAGAGGGTTCTGTGTGGGGCAATCTGGGTGTGGGTGGCTCAGTGGGGGATCCGGATGCGGGGGGGATCTGGATGCACAGGGGCTTGTTGGGGGGTTCTGGGTGCAATGGTAATGGAACTCTGCAGGGGGGTCCAGGTGAAGGTGGTTGGGACTCAGCAGGAGGGGGTCTGGGTGTGGGGGGGATAGAGCTCAGCACGCGGGTCTGGGGGGGGTTCAGTGGGGAGTCCAGATGCAGGGGGAGTGTGGCTCAGTTGGGTGGGGATCCAAGTGCAGTTGGTTGGGGCTTGGTGGGGTGGGGAGCCAGGTGCGGGTGGCTTGTCGGGGTGGTCCAGGTGCAGGGGGAGTGGGAGTGGGGCTCATTGGGGGGTTCTGAGTGCGGGTGGGGAGTGAGGCTTGGTGGAAGGGTCTGGGTATGAAGGGATCAGGATGTACGGGGGTTGGGCAGATGGGGAGCAGCTCCCCGTACATAGATCCCTTCCTTTGCAGCTGAGGAGTGACGGGTGCAGGAAGCGGGGCATCGTGGGGAAGTTTGTAGAGCTTCCTGCAACTGGGGGAAAAATCTGGGGTGGGTCTGACCAGGCCCTGGATGCCGTGCAGGAGAAGAGAAAGTCCCATCCTCTCCAGTCTAGCCGGGACCAGCAGCTGAGCCCAGCGCAGAGTAGGAGCCACCAGCAAGGCAGCCACCAGCCACTAGCAAGGCAGTGTAGACAAGCCCTTAGGCACTTCTAAAAAATTTACCCCAAATCTCCCATTGACATCAATAGGAGCAGGATTGAGCCCATAACTCCCTTAGTAGAAGTTAGTAGGATCAGGATTGGATCCCAAACTATCCACAAATATTGTTTGTAAATGTACTTAATTATTAGCTATTTTCTTCCAACAGAGCCTTGAACTATGAAGGAAATGTAACTATCTGGGAAGGTGCACAGGGTGGCAACAAATCACAGTTAAGCTTGAGGGAAACTCAAAAACATTTTGTCTGAGATGTTGAAACGGGGGTAGTTTTTCATGTCCTGTAACTCAGAAACAATGTGATGGGCTTTCTTCAAATTTTACATGAATACTCATTTGTCTTCATTCAACAATTAGCTAGCATGTCCCTTTGCCAACACTGATACGTGGTTAGCAGAAATACTAATAAATAACAAACCCAAACCCTTCGGTCATTCAGTTTGGCCCCCAATGAGGTATCGAGGGTGAGATTTTCAGAAATGTTCAGTGTTCACTTGACTCTGCTTCCATCGAAGGCAGTGGTAAAACTCTCTTTTCAATGGGTGAAGTCAGGTCAGCGCTGAGAGCTTTTGAAAATCCCACTCTGAACCTTGTGGATAACTATGTTACTCTGAATACATTAAAAGTCCTTGTCTGGACCTCTAAGGTCCCACATTTTTCCAGAGATGATCTGTCACTTCAGTCCCCTGCTTGGCTTTCTGTTTGCCAGTGATTGGAATGTTCTTGGTTTTTTGTCCCAAGCAATGATCTCTGAGATGATAAACCAGGACAATTACCTTCTTCTGCCCTAGTCACCGTGAAACCCAATTCCTTTTAGTGGTTTAGTGGACATAAGAATGGCCATACTGGGTCAGACCAAAGGTCCATCTAGCCCAGTATTCTGTTTTCTAACAGTGGCCAATGCCAGGTGCTTCAGAGGGAATGAACAGAACAGGTAATTATCAAGTGAACTGTCGCCCAGTTCCTGCCTCTGGCAAACTGAGGCTAGGGACAGGCTTCTGAAGCCTGCATTTCACCTGATTTGCCTGCTGTCCCCATTGTTTATTTCATTAACGATGAGGATCCCTATATTCACAAAGGGACTTTAAGCATTGTAACACCTGACTCCAAGGCACTCTGCCACCTAGTGGAATTCTCAGACTCGCGTTAGGTGGTCAGAGCACACCTAATGGATTGGTCCCCACAGGCAAGGTAGACAGAACCACCCCTAGCTTGAGACTCCTAATGGGATTCAGCTTGCGCTAGGGATCCCAGCAGCTCGTTAACTGTGGGGTAACAGCAGGACTTATGTGGCGTTGCACATGTCTACTGGCAGGAACCTTCAGAGTTAGGCTGCACCTGAGCAGTCATTTTGAAAATGTCAGTGGTGCCTAAATGTTAGACTTACGGACCTAAAGAGTCAGTTAGACACCTAAGTACCTTTGTGAATCAAGCCCCAAGTTCTCACCCACAGGGCCATTTGACTCCCCCTCACTTAGCATGAAAGGTCACAGAAAACAATCCCTGTAAGCTGCAGGCTAACCTCTTCTTTCCTTGCTGCAGCCTGTTCTCTCCTTGCAGACTCCCTCCAAGCTGCAGACTGGCTCTTGACTCAGAAGTCACATGTACTCATAGACTTGCTGTCTCCACTTCTTAATCACTATGGCACATTTGCTCTTTATGGGCCTATAGCATTGGCTGAGTTCCCTCAAGCAGATGCTTCACCATCAGAATCTTCTACCTGGTCACATACACTGCTAAGTGTCTCTCTGTAACACTTTTCAGTCTCTGTTAGCGGCATACATGCAACCAAGTATTAACGACACTAAGCTAGAGGTGTTATAAACATTTTAGTTTGTGCCGGGAGAAATAAGGAGGCCTGTAACTTGCATTAATTACCTCAAGTTACAGGCATTGTGAAAAACTGTTTAGACCCCAGAGCATTTGGCACCTTTGATAAAGTGAAAACAAGTTACTATTGTTATTATTATTTATTCCTCAAATCATAGATGAGTAGAGACTAGGGTAAAAGTGCCTCCATTATTTAGAATCCTTTGTCATTGCATTACAGATAATGGATTTTTTTTAAGCACCTAGGTGAATTAGGAGCCTAGGTCTCAGAATTTGGATTCCTAGGTGACTCAGGAACTTTTGTAAAATTTATCTAAGAGGAATATTCTTGTATAGAGGTTCCCTCTGTGCACACAGGTCTAGAGGACACCATCTGGCGGGCAGGAACAGATACTGCTGGAGTGGATCTCAGTGATGTGAAGATAAGTGAAAGAAGTGCTTACAGTTCACAGAAGAAGTAAATATATTTCAAAATCCTCGTTTCAGATGTTCAGATTGCTGGCTAAAGCATATGCAGGTGCACATCCAATCATCTCAGACAAATTGGAAGCCCGTTGTGGTGGAAACTTCGTTAAACGAGGAGGCATTATAAATGGTGCTCAGTGGTACAGCTTTACTGGAGGTAAATCTCTTTGCCATTATGTCATGTGAAGCAAAACCTGAGTAAGACCCTTAAGAGAGACAATTAAGGGCCTGATCCAAGGCCAAGTGAACTCAATGGAAAGACTCATTAATTTCAGTGGGCTTTGCATCAGACCCTGCCCCCAGCGCACAAAAATGTCTTTAGAGGATTTAAATGGCAACGTCTATATTCAAATAGAGCAGGCCAAATTCATCCCTGACGTAACTCCAGTGAAATCAATAGAGTTATGCATGGGATGAATTTGGCATTGTGTATTTATGAAATGCTGTTCTGGTGTTAAAATCTGAAATTTTCTAGCAGATAGGAATGAAACATTAATGCCTCAACAGCAGCATGAATTTGGACTTCAGATCCATAAAGCAGAATTTTATATATTCTACATTATGGATTTGAAGTGTGCTTAATCTGTATTGACTAAACTATAATTGATTATTATTAGTAGTCATGATAAGCAGAAATGTCACAACTGACATCCAATTCATTGGTGTTCAGGTTTCCACTGCTATTTTATCATTAGCATTATTTGGTTTTTCAGGCTTGTTCAATTTTTGATACTAGCACCTACATCCTATTTTCAAAAGTGACTTAGACTCCTAAGTCATTAATAACTTTTGAAAATGGGGTGCTTTTGAAAATTGTGCCTGTTATCTGTGATTATCATTTTAGTACATAATAATGTCATGACCTTTCCTTTAGAGGCACAGGGTTCTCATGATGTTAGCTTCTCTTAGACGTTTGCTGCCACCAAAGGAACTGCTGATAGGGTATGGTACCTTTGCTAGATGGTGTAATAATGAAGAAGAAGATACCATAAGACAGCAAAGACATTTTCTTTATTCCCCAGTCCAAGAACAAGTCTCATTCTCTGACCACAGGCTTGGAAGTCAATTCCAGAGTGCTAAACCCTGCTCTGACCTCGATTTCCCTGTGACCGTGGGCAGTATATGGTATAAAGCTGATCATGCACAACTCCCATCCCTCCACCTTAGCTTCTACAAATGTAATGAGTTTTAATAATAATAGTGCTTACCCATCTCAAAGAGGTGTTGTGAGCATTAATAAGTTAACTGATGTTTAAAATAATGCTTGTAAAGCTCCAAAGATACCGAATACTGTGCATATGGTACATGCATTCATTCTACACAACATATACATCCTTGTCCACAGGGCTGCATTGGGTAATCAACTAACTGGAGCAACACAGTTCTAATTAAATGTGACATGGATTGTTCATAATCTTCCCTTTTCCCTTTCTATTAATTTAGGTATGGCAGATTTTAATTACCTTCACACAAACTGTTTTGAAATCACCTTGGAGCTGGGATGTGAAAAGTTTCCTTTGGAGGAGGAACTGTATTCAGCCTGGCATGAAAACAAAGAATCCCTTCTGACTTTTATGGAAATGGTAGAGATCTACTTTTATATATATTCTTTAGTGCTTGTGGCTTTTCTTCTGCATTCTTTGGTGGGATTCCATGGTTATTTTTTTCCCTGTTGAGGATGCTTATGACAGTATTTGATCTTCAGATATTCCCACACCAGTCTCTGTCCCTCAGTTTGGCTGTCTAAGAATGTGGATATTATTTCCCTAACTCACATGTGGGTGGGTTGAAGATTGAGATGTGCTTAAGTACAACACAAAATAGGACCAGAGAAATGTCTATAAATAGTTTGGGTGGGTTTATGAATCAACTCTTCAAAATCCAGTACTAGAGACAGACCAACTCATTCAGAAAAATAAGACTCAACCTCTCTCTCAAAGAACTAAACCAAACTTAATTTAAATTTCCATAAAGTTTAGGTAATTTTTCACTTTTACATGCTTCTCCGATTCCATGGTTTTGGTCTGAAGTTCCACTATTCTGTAACAGAGACCTTTTAAGTGTTGTTTTTGACCCATCTGGAACTAGGAAATACTGAAAAATTCATTGGAAATCCTGTTCCTATAATATTTCAGCTCAGTTTCTGAACAAAACTGTTAGGATAAACATCTGGACCCTGAACTTATGGAGGAACAACCAAACCAAATTTATGTAGGTTCACTCAGCAATAACAAATGCCTCACTAATAACAGGTAACTGATCACAGAGACTCAAGGCAGACATCTTTCTCTCAGCCATTAGCAGATCAGCTTTCTGTCATGCCTTATATTGATAGACTATGTAGTAATTTAAAGTTGTTAGGAGTGTGTTAGCTTTTTTTTATGGCCTTTTTAAGCAACCTCTTGCTACTTGTGGTAAGTATCATCATTCGATAAAGACTACAATCCAGACCACCAACCTCATTTCATTTTACAGCTGTCTGATGAAAATGAGTTTTAGTGGGTCCAAATGGGACTGGATTAAATCCATATATATTGCACTTGAAGCCTTTAAGATGTAAAGATTTTTATAGTGTGAGATACTGTAGAAGTCTATGCTGGAAAAGCCTTTTGAGCAAATGCAGAACAGTAAGCGAAAACTCTCTAGATAAGATTGACTGAATTACTCCTGATAAGGATTAAGTCTGCCATAAGCAATTCAAACTTTTCTCATTCTGATATTTACCAGATTGTTTGGTGTGTGCATAAATCTACTTGGTTTAACTAGGAAAAGTTAAACATATATTTATATGCGCTAATCCTTCTCCTGTTGAAAGCAGTTACAAAACTCCCATTGACTGTAAGGATACATGATCAGGGCTGTATTCATGGAAACAAAATAAACCCAATAGCAATAAAGTAATTAAGGGCCCAATTCTGTCACTCTTACCTGCACTGCCTAGTAATTATTGAAGTCATGTCAGAAAAAGATGTCAGAAATGGGACTTAAAACAGAATCTGTCCTAAATCCAGCAAAGCAAAGTTGAAATAGAATTGCTGCATTATGGGGCAGATTCTCTTTTTTCCTTGTACCCTGTATAGAGAATTTACAGCTCCTCAGAAAGTGAAATTCTGTCCTTCTGATTTGGAAGTGTTTTCCATTCACTTTGCATGAGTGTTAATGATGAGGGTGCAAATTAGTGGAGAGAAAGGCCCACTATTTTTAACACCTCATGCTGATTTAAGATTTTTCCATACTTTGATGCTGCAGGATGACTGGAAAGAAAACAGCACCAATCTCCTATAATAATTCTTAAGGGACAGATTCTGGTTCCTTCTGTTCAGTAGTACCTCATACCTTGAGTAGTCCCATTCAAATAAATTAAACTATGCAAAGGGTAAGGTAGTGCTCAACAGGAGTAGGAGCAGCAGAATCTGGTCCTAAATAAGTGTTGTAATTAGAACAGGTCAACATTTTTAGATTAAAAAACTTTTCATCCAAAAAATGGCCTTTTAAAAAAATTGGATATGTTAATGATTTTTTTAAAATTTCCATTTTTTTAATTCCATGGGAGGGGGGAATCATCTTTTTTTCATTGTTTATTGGTTTTCCTGCTTTTCTGGGTTTTCCTGGGGCAAAATGAGGGTAAAAAAGAAGAGGAAAGGAGAAACAATGAAGGGGAAAGGAAAAGAGGAGAAAAAGGAGTGGAAAATAGGAAACCTACAAAACTCAGAAAAATGAAAAAATTCAGAAAAATAATTTTGAAATTGAATTTTTTCAATAAATATTTGTGAAAATTTCTAATAAATAAAAAACTGTCCATTTGTGGAGCCTGCAGAACAAAAATGACTAAAATTTTAAAAAATTGATTCCCCCCCCCCACACACACACTTTTTGACCATCTCAGATTGTTATGAACTGGCAATTTTGTATCTGCACCTTTGCCCTCTTGTGCATGGAATTAAAACTGGTCTGCTGTATGTCACCAGCTTTGTCTTGCTAGGAGATAGGGGTATTTCCTTTTAGCTCAAGCACTCGGATCCTGCGCTTTTAGAGGTGGAGAATCAGGGTAGGTCTACACTATGGGGGAAAGTCAATCTAAGCTACGCTAATTTGAGTTACGTTAGTAGCGTGACTCAAGTTGATGTAGCTTAGAGCTACTTACTGCGGGGTCCACACTATGCTATGTCAACACGAGACGCTGTCCCGTTGACTCCCCTTACTCTTCTTGTTCCAATGGAGTATCACAGTTGATGGAAGAGTGATCTGAGGTTGATTTAGCGGGTCTTCACTCGACCCACTAAATTGACCCCCGGTGGATTGATTGCTGCAACGTCGATCCACCGGTTAGTGGAGACAAGCCCTCAGAGTCCTATACCCACTATTACCATGACATTCTGAGTGGCCATGTTGTTCAGCACAATGACAACCCTGAAGTCCAAGTTTGCTGCTCTAGTGTCTCTCTCTTTCTCGCTCTCTCTCTCTCTATAAAATATAAATATTCACATCAGGTTTTTTTATTAACATCTTTCATTGTTCTAGTATCTCCATCACTGTTCTCTGTGACAGGGAGAGATTTTAACATAGTAATAATGCATGCCTGCCTCACAAGATTGCTGAGGGGTTCAGTTAATTAATGCACAGTTTACAGCACTTTGAGATCCTTGAATATGAGGTACTGAAAAATACTTGTTTGTTTATTATTATTGCAACAAGTTTTAATACCTCTGATTTTCTTATGCAAATATTATTCATAGCAGTGAGCTGCATTAATTGGTTGCACTGTCAAGATGGCAGCATGCTGTTTTACTGTTAGTTATTAGTTATTTAGTTATTCTATATATCCTTTAATGCTGCATTTTTCCTTGTAGTAAATTTAATTAGTAGATTAGAGGGTCAGATCCTCACCTTGTGTAAATTGGCCTCATTTACTCCGTAGTTTATGAAAGTGTTTTTCCCTTACATAGGCAGTATCAGGTCACTTTTAAAAACTTAAACTCAACACAGAAAAGAAATTTAGAGTTAAAGTCAAACATTTTAAAATATTAGTTGAATATAATGGTTATAGGGTCATGCACCCATGATCTATATACAGGCGGGACCCTCCATGCATAGATCTCATTCCACCATCATCAAAGGGGGGGATTTGCTTCCACATGTCCCTTTGCCCCCAGGCCCCATAGAGAGTTGCTCATAGGTTGGCGATCCATGAGTGGGGAGAGTGATCTGAGATTGCACACAGGCCTCTAAGTTGCCCTAGGAGGCAAACCACCCTTCTCAATGAGAAGGATGGTGACTCATTTTGAGGAGAATCTCATGAGGATTGCTTCCTGTCACAACCAGGACATGGGCAGTCAGACCTAATGGTCAGAGCAGGAGTCAGGCCACGTCAGGTACTAGAAGGCCAGAGTCCAAGGCAGGACAGAGGGCAAACCAAGAGTCAGGCATCTGGAGACAGGCAGAATCAGAAGTCAGAATCTGGGGTCTTTTGCACACAGGGTCTGAAGCAGAGATAGGCAGGCAGGCAGTCTGTGTTGTTGCTCAGACAGCCTCCTGTCATGGCTTCCTGGCTTAAGTACTGATGCCAGCTAATCAGTGGGCTTCAAGGAGCTGCCACTCAGCTCCTGCTGGGCAGTACTTCCTGCGGAGCCCACCCTCACAAGGTCGTCCTGCAAGAGCCTAGCCTATGCTTTTGTGTTGATGTGGAGGTGGCAGCAACTCAGTACCCCTTACAGATTCTTACACTTCCTCTTCCTGTAGGTTTTCTTTCAGGAAAAGATGAGCAGGCACAAAAATATTACCATTTGGTGTAACTTGTCCTTTCCTTGTTAGGTACACCGTGGGATAAAGGGAATTGTGTCTGATAAATTTGGTAACCCAATAAAAAATGCCCGAATTTCAGTCAAAGGGATCCGACATGATGTTATCACAGGTAATGTTATTTTGGTTGGATTTTTCTGATATGATAATGATGGTATGCACTATGAGCGAAAAACCGTAGTCCTCACTTAGGCAAAAGTTCTATTACAGTCAATGGACATTTTGCCTGAAGAGAACTGCAGGATTTGGCTGTGTGACTTTACTTAGAATAATGTGAAAAAACATAAGTCAAAATCTACCCCCCCACACACACACAAACACACTACTATTATCAGTGCCAATGAAGTTGTATGAGTGTAACTGAGTGCAAAATTTTTCACAGAATTTTTTGCAGAATCTCTCTAATTTCATATTAAATTTCTTGCTAGGCTAAGTAAACTGAAATTTTCTTCAGATAGAGCAATATTTTCGTCTCTGTGCACAGGTGAATAGTATGTTATAAATATATATGAATGATTGACTGTATGTAGGTCAGAGGCAAAAAGAGTGGAATACTGAGTTACACACTATGTTCATTGCATTAACTAATCAAAAACATACATAACTGTTAATTTTCAGCAGTTGTAAAGCTCTGAGCATTTAGGGCTCAGTCTTGCTCCCACTGAGGTCAATGGGAATTTTGCTATTGATTTCAATGGGAATAGGATTAGGCCCCAGAAGTACATTGTGTCACGTGTGTGGTAAAATTTTGCTCTGGTGGTGGCTGTTATAGCAGTGTGGAAAGCCAGAGTGGCTTATAATGTAGTGAATACTGCACTACTTTGAGTAAACCTATAAAATTAGAGTGGATACAAAACTTGAGATGGTGCAAATTTTTGAAGCTGAAATTGGGGCATGATTTAGGGCAGACAAGGGCAAATTATAGCCTGCGGGCCACATCCGGCCCACAGGACTGTCCTGCCTGGCCCCTGAGCTCCCAGCCGGGGAGCCTAGTCCCCGGCCCCTCCCCCACAGCCACGCCATCACGCGGGCCACGCTCTGGCCTGCCACTCCCGCTGGGCAGCGTGGGGAGCGCAGCTGGCTCTGGCCAGGTGTTGCGGCTGCGAGCTCCTGCTGCTGGTAAGGGGGCGGGGAGCAGGGGGGTTGGGTAAGGGAGCGGGGGTTCCTGGGGGGCAGTCAGGGAGGAGGGAGCAGTTGGATGGGGCGGAGGTTCGGGGGGGGGCCGCCAGGGGATGGGGAACAGGGAAGGTTGTGAGTGGGAGTCCTGGTGGGGCCTGTCGGGGGGCCTGTCAGGGGGCGGGGATGTGGATAGGGGTCGGGAGGGCAGTCAGGGGTCAGGGAGCGGGGGGGTTGGATAAGGGGGTGGGATCCCAGAGGGGCAGTTAGGGGCGGGGGATCCCAGGAGGGGGTGGTCAGGGAATGAGGAGTAGAGGGCGGTTGGATAGGGGGTGGGAGTCCCGGGGGGGCTATCAGGGGGCTGGGGGGTGGATAGGGGTCGGGGCAGTCAGGGGACGGGAAGTGGGAGGGGGCGGATAGGGGGCAGGGGCCAGGCTGTTTGGGGAAGCACAGCCTTCCCTACTCGGCCCTCCATACAATTGCATGGCCGTCGGGCCAAAAAGTTTGCCCACCCCTGATTTAGGGCCTGTTCCAAACCTCATTCTAGACAATGACTTCCCATTAACATCAATGGGCTATGAATAAGGCCCTTAAAGAATTAACCAACAAATATTGTGCCCATATGAAGGAAAAAGGAGTGTTAAGTTTCATTTCAGAATGGACAAGAGTTTGTATAGCTGAAATTTCATGGTGACCAGGCTTTAGTTAAGAGAGAATATGCCCAACAGTTGCAAAGCCAAAATATTCAAAATGAAGGCAGGGGTGCTGGAACAATTTGTAGAGTGGGAGGTGCTGAGAGCCATTGAACTAGACTATAAACTCTGTAAATAATGGAAACCACTTCAATTCAGGAGGTGCTGCAGCACCCCAGCACCCCTACTTCCAGCACCTATGAATGAAGGAAATTATGATTGTCAGGAGCTGAATGCCTCTGATTTTTTCCTTTCTCTTTCCCTTCCTCTTCCTTTATTTTCATCTTAAAAAACCAAAACAGATAGACATTGAAATTCTATGAAAAATGTCATTAATACAATGTTCACTGAGCTGATAAACGTTAAAAATCCAGGAAATATAAAGTTATGCATAAATGCTCATTGTTTGCACTGCCTCCTTCTGCATATACATTAAAATACAGGCCTGATCCTCAGCTGGAGGAAATTGCTATAGTTCCACTGAAGTCAATGGGCCACCAACATGCAGGATTTCAAGGTAGTCATTTCATTGGACATTTTCACCTCAGCATGAGAGACAAACTATTTACACCAGCTGAGGATCTGGCCCCATGTCTCATGTGTATTATATATTACAAATAGGAATTTCTTATGCCCTTGGACATACAATATATCTCTATATTGGGCTTGATTCTTCTTTCACTTACATCAGCTACAGACAGGTGTAAATCCATTGACTTCACTGGAGCTACTTCGTATTCATACCATTGCAAGCAAGACCAGAATCTGGCACCATTTTTGTTTGCCATGGTGTACTACTGTGTAATACATACACTGCATCTATCCTGATACACCTCTACCTCGATATAACGCTGTCCTCGGGAGCCAAAAAATCTTACTGCGTTATAGGTGAAACCGCGTTATATTGAACTTGCTTTGATCCGCCGGAGTGTGCAGCCCTGCCCCCCCCGGAGCACTGCTTTACCACGTTATATCAGAATCCGTGTTATATCGGGTCGCGTTATATCGGTGTAGAGGTGTATTAATACAATTTACAAGATCAGAAGTATAGTTACTTACTAAGGGCCAGATTTTTAATTCCCAGCAGCTCCCACTCTGACACTTGCAGCCTGATTTTTAAAAGAGGGGAACACCCAGTGTGCTGAGCTCTTTTCAAAATCTGTCCTTATATGTCCAATGCTTATCTATGTAAAGATGTGTTTATGCATGTATGCCACTGGACAAAGGACTGAGATACCTGTTTTCTTTAGCTGCCGATGGAGACTATTGGAGACTCCTACCTCCGGGAAGATACATAATCAGTGCTCATGCTATCGGATACAGCAAGGTGATGAAGAGGGTCACTCTGCCTGCCAAGATGAAAAGAGCTGGGAGGGTAGATTTTGTCCTTCGATCTCTAGATACAAAGCCTAAACATTTTCTCCGAGGGCCCATGGAAGACATATATGAGCGATACGACCCATTGGAACATTTCGATCCTCATGCCCAACATGCACAGTCTGAACCAAGAGAAGAAAGAGGGCAGCCTACACGGCACAATGAGAAGCCTTGGTGGTGGTCTTACTTCAGCTCTCTAGGCCAACATAAACCACTGTGGTTGCTCAAACAGCGTTAAGTCAGATCATTGTTCTGCTCACCTTATTATGACACTGTTCCATCAAAATCCTAATACCCTGATTGCTAATGGCAATATTTAAATCTGTTTAATTTGGAAATACAGTGTTAACTCAATATCACTTTCTGTAATTCTTTTTTTTTTCTCTTTTCACAGAATTGACTATATTCAAGTACTTATATATATTAAAAAAATAGTACGCATTTGTTCAAAGGCCAGGTTCTATTCAGTTTCCTAGTAATGTGCTTTCTTTATGCCCATGCAGTTAATCATCAGATTTATTATTTATTAGATTCTAAAGTACCTGCAGAGGAATCTTCCTGATCTTTTAATGCATTTTCATACATGTCTTATCACATTAATTATTGCAAACTGAAAACAACTTTTAGGAAAATTTGGAAAAGCCTTTTCTTCTTTATACATTATTTCTGCATACTAAGTTTAGTACATTAAATCTTCCAACATAGATTTAAATGATTTTAGAGAAAAAAAAATTTCATTTGATCTCAGCATTACTTTTTAGAAAAGACTCACTAGAAATGAGAAATATGGAAAGAAGAAATCTGTGTTTCTGAATTAGGAACATTTACAATAGGATGAGCTACTTGTGAAAGAGTCAGTTCTTAATAAAGAAACATATTGAACAAAGTCACATTTTCCCAAATTCTATTTGAGAAATTCTCATTCAGTTTCCATCTGGTAATGCTTAAAAAGGACCCATACCATTTTATAAAATAAGGGTAAACGTGATAAAGGCTAGATTGTGATATTCTCCCATGTGTTGTATAGTGCCTTACATCATGAGTAGACAACTGAAGTAAATGGGAATACTTGGAGAGTATGATAATATTCATGGGAGTCAGAGTATTTGACCCTACTATAGTTTTAATACTAAAGGTATATTTGTATTTCTGAAAACATTTGTTATTAAAAAATACTAGAAGGTGAAGACTAAATGGCCTAATTCATGAGGGAACTAGGTTAAAATGTGACATATGTCATACCAGGGTAATCAATGATTTAACTGTAGAAGTGCATCTGGATTCAACATATTTGTTAATGGAACTTAGCAAACATCAAAGAAATCTACAAGATCATCAGATAAAACTTCTGTTCAAGAGAGTCACAAGAAAAGCTGGGTGAATACTGGGTTTGCTCATCTTATATGTAAGTATCTTATTTGGAACTATGAAAAATATCTTTAATTTGGATGAAACAAGGAGGTCCAGACCTTCAGCAGGCATGAACTGGTGGTCAGGGGAACTACATCGATTCAGACCATGTGCAGATCTGCCCCAATATCATGGTTTCTGAAAAAGCTGATTGTTTGGAGTTGCTATACTTCATGCAGATACTGCTCTATTAACTGGACTCAAGATCACCTTGTCAGCTCTAAAGCCTGGTTTCCTCATCTCTGTCAATGGTGCCTAGGCTGTATGTTTCATGATGGATGGTATGTGCACACACATCTCATGCCTTGGTTACCTGAGACACAGAGAGATGCTTTCATAGCTCCAATCCTGCATACCTTTACTCACCTGAGTAATCCAGTTGACATTATTGAGTCATCTGCTCACATGTGTAAAGTTACTCATGTGCTTACGTGTTCACAGGATCGGAGTCTAAGGGTATGTCTACACTACCGCGGTAGTTCGACGGCTGGCAATCGAACTTCCGGGTTCGATTTATCGCGTCTGGTCTGGACGCGATAATTCGAACCAGGAAGTGCTCGCCGTCGACTGCGGTACTCCACCTCAGCGAGAGGAGTACCGCGGAGTCGACGGGGGAGCCTGCCTGCCGCGTGTGGACCGCGTCTGAACCGCGGTAAATTCGAACTAAGGTATGTCGACTTCAGCTACGTTATTCACGTAGCTGAAGTTGCGTACCTTAGATCGAATTGGGGTGTTAGTGTAGACCAGGCCTAAGACAGGAGGAAAGAACACAACTTTACAGTGTTAACAACCAAGAACATTTTGACTTGTGTACAGGGTGAACTTTGTAGCACACTGCAGTCCATATAAATCACGGTTATTTGCCCATGATTAGCTAAGAGATAGAGATGATTCACTGAAACATAAATTCAACTAAACTAAGCAAACAAAAGATTCTGTCTCCAAACTAAAAATGCTCTCTTGTTTCCCTATAGTGGGCAAAAAAAATGTCTCCCATTACAATTGAGTATTTACTATAACAGAGTTTTCAAAGCCACCGTTCTATTGAGTGGTAGAACTGACAAACTCAGAACTCTTACAGAATTACTTACTGTTAGCTGCTCACTTTCTCTATGGCAGTCTCCCTCATATGCTATTTTAATATTCTCCAAAATCTCACAGGGCTAATTGGACCTTTTGCAAGCTATCATAGAAAACCTGAAAGCAGCATGACCATGTCAGAAAATCCACTTCCTTCCCTAAATCCTCCCCTGAAATGGCAAACAGCAGCAAAAAATGTAACAAGATAATTTGACTTGAAATATTGCAAAGAAGCTTTTTTTGTGAGTGAGATTTCAAGGGTTTCCATAATTTGAACTAGGTGTGAAATAGAGCAAGGATAACCTTCCCTGTGCTATGTCTGTCCAGGCCACAATCAGGAGTTTTAAGTTGGACTGAAGTTCTGATGGGTTTCATGAATGGTAATCCAGATACAGGGGTTGGGTTATGGCACACCAGCAGGAAACAACAGGTAGAATCTTGGAAAAGGACCCTGAACCTCCCTGAATTCCTGAGTTATTTCATTCTTCAGAAGATAAACAGTTCACTTTTCAGGGAAAAAAATAATTTTCAACGTTTTTTTAAGTATTTTTTAAAATCAAGAAGACTAGACGTGCCTTGTTGAGAATGCAATAGCTTCCACATTAAATAAACAAGCACAAAAAGGATTTTCTTTTAGGACCACAAATAAAGAGAATAGTCAATAACCCTAAAATCTGTGAAGGGCTATTTTTTTTCCTGACAGTTACAAGTGGACATGTTGTAAGTAGCAGGCTTAAATGTAGTGATGAGGGGCTATCAAACTCACTTATTGAGCAAGCCGACGACTTGGTTCAGAGCATTACCTGTTAGATGTTAAAAATGATTGTAGTCCCTAGAATTGGGATCTTAATCTCATCTATAAAGTGGGAGTAATGATATTTCCCACCCTGGGTCTGTCTTATCTATTTAGTGTGTAAACTCTCTGGGGCAGAGACTGTCTCTTATTATGACTATGTCTACACTGTGAGCTAGGGGTATGATTCCTGAGTACAGAGCCACCAGTTTTCAGGCGGGTTTGTATTTGGCACACCTCAGCCATGCTTCTGCTGCCACAACCCGTGCTACTGCGGCTATGCTGCTCTTTATACTCATGCTAGCTTGATGAGAACTAGCACAAGCATGTGTACACGAGCAGGGGAATCACATCCCTAGCTTGTAGTGTAGACCTGGCCTATGTGGATGTAGTGCTCAGCATTTGGGGCGTCCCTAGGCACTACTATAATAAATGCATGAGAACGGACACTATGAAAAACAACCTCATGCCCTGATTCAGGAAAGCCCTTATATGTGTGTTTAACTTTAAGCACATGCTAAATTCCCAGTGGAATGGGAATTAAAGTTAAGTACATGCTTATCTGCTTTTCTGAACAGGAATGGATTTACAAAGGTGTTTAAGTGCTTTGATGAATTGAGGCCTCAGGCAGCGCTAAGGTTTAGGAACACAGAAAAGAAAATAAGAGCAATGAAAGTTAACCTGACAGCCTCCATTTAGACTTGGCTAGTCTCTTTTTCAGAATGTCAGAACTACTTTGGAGTGTGACATGTCCCCCAGAGGGACTATAATATCAGTCTAAACTCCACACCCAAACATAGCTCATTTTATATGTGAATTACAGCACATGCTAGTGAGACTCCCTTTCCTTCCAAGTCAAGCCTATGTTTTTTTCAATTACCTTCCAACCACATATTGAACATTATTGACCTATGTTTTTGTAGCATCCTCCTTAATAATTAATTTCCCAGTCTCCATTGTTACCTTTGTTCATTTCAAGCAGGATGCCATGCACAAAGCTTTTTTCATTAACAGGCATTTGGAACTGCTAAAGGTCTAGGGAACACTCTTCAGAGAGCTTCATCATTAATATGCCGGTGCAGAAACTCCTCAATGGATGCACAGTATACAGATGTAATTAACAGCCTTTAAAAAGGTGAAGAACAGGGAGAAGTGTTTGCTAATTTTATATTTGAAGTTTCTCTTTTAATTATACAGTAGAGATCATTTAGAATAAGCAAAAATGCCAAGGGAAAAGGAAAATTAATTTCAACTTCATAAGAATTGTGAAAACTCCTATTATGCTAAAGAAACTCTGGGTCAGATTATATTTGTCCCTTGCACCAATGTGATGGGGGAAGGCAGGCAGAAATGCCTTCTTTTGTCCCCCCTGTGTAGGAGGTGGCCACAGTTATGGTCCCTGCAGTCTCCTGAAGGATTATCTTGCTTTTCCAAAGAGGGAAGGAGAAGAAAATGTCTCAAGCGGGCATCCAAAAATGGAGGCACCCAAAACCATTAGCCACTTTTGATTGACCATTTCTCTTTGAATGTAATATATAATGTTTATATTTGCATAGCTCTCCTAATTTTCACACCTATATGCTTCCATCACACAGGTGAACTGGGCTGCTTTCAAATGACACCTCCATTTGCATGCTGATAAAGTCCTATGAAGTAGCTGTTGAAGTGGGCAGGTTTTTAGCAGCTCAGCAAGCCAGTCCCTTTTCCTAGAAGCAATCATTTGCTAGGATCTTAGTTTAATTTTTTTAAAATAATTGCTTTAAATGGCAGTGAAGACAGCCTTCAAAATATGAACAGAATGTAAACTGATCCAATGATGGCTGCAAACAGACTGAAATAATATCTCTGAGAGTTGGGCATTTTCCTTATTCATCTCAGTGGGTTAACCCCAGAACCAGGTGATGCTACTCTAAATGTCACCATTAACTCTTTCACTGTTGCGTGCATGAAAGAAGAGGGATGATTATATTATTAAGATCTGCACAGTATGCCGTGAATTGGTGTCACATTTTGATGTCATGAGTGAGCCAAATTGGTTTGTGGGCAGAGCTTGGGAGAATATCATCACTTTCCCCTCCAATTCTGACTTTTTCCTCAAACTTTTAGTAGTACAAAAGGCCAGTTATTAGAAATGTATGCGAAACTATTTGAACAGGGAAACAACATTTTGAAATAAAGAAAATTTGTTACATTATTGATATTACTTATGGGCACTCACCAGTGCAGTATGTGACTGAAAACATGAATTATTGAAGGGGATGTAACATAACTATAGTATATATTTGAAAGGCAACTGTAATTATGTATATGGACCTTCCCTTCTTTTGAAGTTAAGTCTTAATCAGCGTATATGTATTTGATATATGTATTTAACTCAGAGAGATTAAGGCCCTGTGCAACACTACCTGCAGTGACTCAAAAGCGTGAATACCTGCCTCAAGGCAGACTGCTAGGAACCAGGGCACAAACCCCAAATTGGTTGTGAGGTCTATACTTAGATTTCACCAAATGAATTACCAAGTGAAAATGCCTCAGGCACTATAACAGTCTTAACATGGAGTCACAGACAGTCCCCTTCGGTACTCTGCTCTATCTTACCACTC